ACTGTGCAATAGGCCGAGACAGTCGCTGCTGGTGAGGCGAGGATGCAAGCTTTCGGTGTGCCGCAGTGCCAGATAGGGTGCCAAGATGTCGCTGTGGCAGATGCAAGGCGAAGATCAGGCTGACTGATAGTGCATCCTGCCAGGAGCCAGCTAGGTTGCCCCAACCGCAGAGCTTTGCTACCGTCAGCGAGGCCTGCAGGGAGCTGTGCTCAGCGGCTGGGAGGGGAATGGACCACGGGCATTCGCAGCCATTCCTGTTGTGCGGGCGCCCATGGCTTCCTGCGCAGGCGGAAGTTGCCGCTGTTGAGGCGCGTGGGTTGCTTTAGCTGAGGGAAGCCTTCGGCAAAAGGCCTCCAACGGTTCTCCTTCAGCTTTCAAAAGCCCCTTGGCCAGGAGGCCAAGCTTCCGCAGCCGCCGAGCTTCGCGACGAGCGAGGCGCGCCCCAAGCAAGATAAGCAAGATGGGGTGCCGTACCGGAGGACTACCAAAGCTGCCGAAATGTGGGGTGATGTGGATGCCAAGGCCAAGTTTCAACTCCCCCCTAGCTCAATCCAGGGCCCACTGCTTCTGGAGTCATCTGTCCAGGGTTGTCATTCATCCGCTGCAGGGCGACAGCGGGGCTGCGGGCGAGGCGGCCGAGCGCTGTGCTGCCCGAACTCTCCCAGAACCCCATTGCAGTTGCACGCAGTCGACTCCGGACGCTGTGGTGTTTTTTGCTGCTAGCTTCCGAGCCCTTCCCAGGATTTTGGCACATCGCCCGCAGGCAAAATGTGGCGTTTGTCTTACCGGCCCTTAACAGATCTCTCATAACACCGTCAACTCCGTCAACTCCGTCAACTCCGTCAACCTCCGTAAACGTCGTAAACTTCGAGAACTTCGTAAGCTTCATAAACCTTTACGAACCCTGAAGTCCTAAGCCTAAACCACATGGTCGGAGGCTGCAGCAGCGGCGATCGAGGTCGGCAGAGAGCTGCGTTTTGAAGAAGGTATGCTTCTAGCAGAGATAACAGCCACATGATCACGGAAGCTAGAGGCCTGAGTGTAGTCTTGTTACAGGGCTGCAATGCCAAACGATGCCTGGAGGGGAAGAAATATTTATCAAGTGAGTTGGGGGCAGGTCTGGATTAGGCGGGTCTCACCGGGAACCTGGCTCGAGAGGGCGGGGGGGGGGGGGGGGGGGGAGGGAGTGATGGGGCGGGATGCCTGAATTGCACCGAAGTTGACATTGGCAAGCAGCCTGGACGGGGCGGAGGCGAGCACGGGGCGGGGGGCGCTTGACCCCACTTTCGTCAAGATGCTTGCACGCTTGCACGCGCACGCTGGCATTTTTGATGGGTGGACTTTCCGCACACGCTTGCCTCCACGCATGCTTGCTTCTTGCTTGCTCAGATTTTGTTTTTTCTTGCTCGCTTACCGGCACGCAAACGATGCAGATGAGCCAGTTCCACTCGCACTTGCAGAGTGCCATACGTGGGTTGCGGCAGACGAGTCAAGCATTGCGGATAGTACTTGCAACCACTAGCGTCTGCCCCTTGCAGGGTGAGTGCGGGCTTCTTCATCTTTCGTTTGTCTCCGATTGCACCCTGAAGTTCCACTAGACACGGATTCAGGGTCGCAGGGTGCGGGGTGCGAGGGGTCGGAGTAATGCAGTTGCTCCATGCTTGGAGGCTGATGGTAATTAAAACGAGGGTTCTAAGCAGGGTAACTATGGTTGCAACCTTATTCGATATTCATGAACCTTCAAGTGGCTCTGCTCGGCATATGATGCGGGGGAGGTGGAGCCACACGACTCCGTCTCTGTGTGTGCGGTCTCTGAAGCAGGCGCTCGGCTTCAGCGTGTACTTGCATTCTTTTCTTGTTGTGATGCAAGCCAAAGCAGCCCCCGTCCCCCTAAACAAATCGAGCACCTTGGCTACTTTTTGGCGGAGGCTCTGTCGTGGGCGAACCACTTGTGGGCCCACCGAAGCAGCGAGTCTCAGCCCTCTCTGTGTGCCTCTCTGTGGCTCTGCTGTGCAGCGTTGGCACGACGGGGCAGAGCCTCCACAAGAATTCGCAACCTGTGCTACGACTTCCTGCACGGGGGCTCATAGTCATAGCCCACAAGAAAGGTTCTTGGGTTCTATCTTGGGTTCTACCCTCTAGAGCCCGAAAAGCCTTGTAGGGTGTATTGCAAGGAGTTGATAAAGCAAGAACCTACACTCTAAACCCTAAAACCTCAGACACCAACACCCTGAACCCTGAACCCAACCCAAACCCCAAAACCCCAACACCTCAAACCTTGAAACCTTGAAACCCCGAAACCCCGAAACCCTGAAACACTTAAACCCTAAACCCTAAACCCCAAAGCCCCCCAAAGCCCTCTAAAGCCCCGGAACCCCGAAGCGCAATCTTCCCAGGCCGGCGGAGACCGCGCCAGCGGCCGACCAGAGTCGCTGTCAGGAGAGAGAGAGGGAGAGAGAGCAGCTGTTGCTTCGGGTTTATAGGGTTTAGGGTTTACAGGGTTTAGGGTTCAGGGTTTCTAGGGTGTATAGGGTTCAGGATTGAGGGTTTAGGGTGTAGGTTTTGTTTTGCAATAGTGGTTGTTTGGGCGGATGTCTTGTTTGGCCATTATGCCGTAAGTACTGCGGACACCGTCTCTACATGGGCTGGTCTTGTTAGGGAATGGGTTGGTAGGGCTCTGGCATTTAGGATTGTGAACCGCGAACCCGAAGTCGCTGGGCCGGAAATGACTTGAAACATAAGTTGCAGACCAGGACAGAAGTACTGAGATGACATATGTATTCATCTGTGAAGATGTGCATGTTTGTTTCAAGCCGTTACGAGTGTGTGTATATCTGAAGGTATGTCCATATATATATATATATATATATATACCCGTTCTTCTGCAGACAAAACAAGACCCTGCCCCATCATCAGCGCTTTGGCCCAGAGGTTTGCATCACAGGCCGCAGATTGCTCGAAGGCACAATCTGTAAACCTTAAGCCCTAAACCCTAAACCCTAAGCTACAGTTTTAAGCAACCTGGAAGGCGAATACCCGTCACGCTGCTGAAAAGGAGCACTCCAGTTTAAAGGTTTAACGCAAAACCTGAACCTTAGATTCTAAACCGCTAAGCCAAAACCGTAAACTCGAAGCCCTAAACTCTAACCCCAAACCTGAAACTCCAAAACCCAGAATCCTGAACTCTAAGCCTCAGACCCAGCATCTCAGCCTGTCAGGGTCTCGACAAGGTAGCCCTGTGCCGCCCTCGGAAAGAGTTGTCTTAGTGTATCTTTTTATTTGGTTTTAGTTTTAGTGTTTGTTTTTAGCTTGCGGGTTTTTAGGGTTTTAGGGTTTTTGTTGTTTTTTGGGTTAGGCTTCTAGGGTTTTGGGGTTTTAGGGTTCTAGGGCTTTAGTTTTAGAATTTTCGGGTTTGCTTCGGGAAATAGGGCTTAGGGTTTGGGAGTCTGCCGTGGTGCAGAGTTTTGGGGGGGTTTAGGGGTTTAGGGGTTCAGGGTTAGGGCTTGGCGCAACTGAAGCTTATGAGGTTGAAGTCTTGGTGGTGACAACCCCTTCTGCTGGATGCCTACTCAAGCCTTTACTGTTGGGTTACGCTAAAAACTCTAGCAACCCTAAACCCCCTCAACCCTCAACCCTCAACCCTAAACCATGGAGACCCAGAATCCTGAAAGCCACCGTCGAGACTCAGAAGCCAACCGGCAAAACAAAAGCCCGAGCTTGGGTTCTTTCTGGCCTCAGCCATGAACTAAGTCGCAAACACTGCGTTAGGGTTTCGGGGTTTCGGGATCCAGGAGTTTATGCAAGCAGTCATCGGACGCCCCCTAAGCGAGAAGAACGTCTGGACTCCTTGGTCGGCGTAAAGCCAATTCAAGACAATGACCGCCGCCATTGCTTGTGACGTTGGCGGTACAAATTCCAAACAACCTGCGGATCAACCGCCTGCAGCTCTAACGGAGGCGAGTACGGCCGTTTAACGACGACGTCGTACCTGTCACTCCCAGATAAAGGTTTGAGGCAGCCTGCCCGTCCATCAATGCCATGCTTGGACACATACAGTAAGCAGGAAACCGTAGAAGAGAGAAGCGCCTTCTCCTCTACAATGCAGTGCTCAGAACAGGAGCAGGAGTTTAAGGGAACAGGGGTTCAGGGGGCAAAACAACAGAAAAGGGTTTTAGGTACCCTAACCCTAAACCCTAAACCCTAAACCCTAAACCCCAAACCCTAAACCCTAAACCCTAAACCCTAAACCCTCAACCCTAAACCCTAAACCCTCAAAGCCCACCAGGTCCGGGGAGGTTGGCATGAGCAGCTCTGAGCGGGACTTTGTGGCCGCCCTCCGCGCCGTGCAGGCCGAGGTCATCACTGAGGCCCAAGCAAGCCAAGCTGCGGGCAATCTTGGGGGGTTTGCAGGGTTTAGGGTTTAGGGTTAGGGTTTAGGGTTTAGGGTTTAGGGTTTAGGGTTTAGGGTTTAGGGTTTAGGGTTTCGGGCAGTTTCTAGCTGTCCAGATGGAGCCTTCAGCTGCCTTGGTAACCTCTAAGCACTTTAAGTTGGACCTGAGTCTCTTAGAACCGGACTGCAATGAGGCAAGTGTTTCGGTTCCCTGAAAGCCCCAAACTGTTCAGGAGCAGTCGGGGCAGTGTTGGCTTTCTAGAGCTCAGCCTCAAACCATGCACCCTACACCTGCCTGCCTGCAGTGCGCCATCAGCACCAAGAATTCGCGAGCGCCGGCCTCAAGATCTGGGTTCTGAATTCGGGTCCCCTTGTTTTTAAGTCCCAGAAGTTCTGTTGTAGATAAGAGAAGCAGCTGATAGCTTCCCGGGCCCTAGAGGTGGGCCGATTCATGGCCACCATAAGAGGTATAATCACTTAAAGGTCCCCCAGTAGCGTCCGGGCCCGCAGATTCTTGCCTTGGGACTGCGTGCTGTTTTGGCCCTAAGAACACCGATAGTTGACCTCGTTTTGTTCTCTTTTGGAAGCTGCGGCTCCCACATCCGGAGACATGGCGGAGACGTTCGCGTTCAATGCCGACATCCAGCAGCTGATGTCCCTCATCATCAACACCTTCTACTCCAACAAGGAGATCTTCCTGCGAGAGCTCATCTCGAACGCCTCGGACGCGTTGGACAAGATCCGCTGGGAGCTCAGTTGGCTTGGCGACTACTTTGGAACACTGGCAGCAACTTCCCTGCGGCAGATGACGAAGCTCAGCAGAATGCGATGAGAAAAGAGCAGCTCAGGTTACGAGTCCATTACAGACCCGGACAAGATCGAGGCAGGGCTTGGGAGTTGAAGTCGCATCGATGCCCCCATTTTCTCATGTCTTTCTTGTAGGCGCAGCCCAACTTCTTCATCAAGCTTCTGGCGCTGCAAGTGGCACACCTTTGCGCTTCAACCCTAAGCTTTTCAGAAACTCTGCAAGCCCCAAAAGGCCCTATAGGGTCTAGAGTTTTAGGGAGATTCCAGGGTGTCCTAAGCTGCCACCACCCCCGCCCGCCCCCCCCCTCCCCCCCCCCCCCCCCCCCCCCCCCCCCCGCCAGGATCATCCCCGACAAGACGAACTCCACCTTGACCATTGAGGACTCGGGCATCGGCCCCCCTTCTATACTAGCCCATACTACCCCCCCTTGTTTGCCCCAATTCGGCTTAAATCAGGATACTCCCCCCTTAAATACCCTGAACTCGGCTTAAATCAGGGTACTTGTAGGCTCCCCCCCTTAACTTAGGGTACCCCCCCCTAGGTTCCCCCCGGCCATGATAAGGCATGACCAAGAACGAGCTGATCAATAATTTGGGCACCATCGCCAAGAGTGGCACCAAGGCCTTCATGGAGGCCATGGCGGCAGGCACCGCTCTTTTGGGGGGATCCTGGCTCCGCCTTCTTTAAAGGGTTTAGGGTTTTAGGGTTTTAGGGTTTAGGGTTTAGGGTTTAGGGGTTTACGGTTTAGGGGTTTAGGGTTCAGGGGTTTAGGGGTTTAGGGGTTTAGGGGTTTAGGGGTTTAGGGGTTTAGGGGTTTAGGGGTTTAGGGGTTTAGGGGTTTAGGGGTTTAGGGTTAAAGGTGTAGGGGTAGGCCTCCAGCAGGGAGGCCACACAGCGCTGCTTAGCAACCTGCAGGCGGAGATATCTCCATGATCGGCCAGTTCGGTGTTGGCTTCTACAGTGCCTATCTGGTTTCGGACAAGGTGCGCGTCGTCAGCAAGCACAACGACGATGAGCGGCTTGTTCCGCAATCGCTCCAGGTTCTCTCACGGTGTCCTTTTGCTGACCTGGGTTCGGTGATTCACAGACCGGCGTTTCAGTCTTGAATCGTTGCACTTCGACAGTGTACTGGTCGGTTTCATGATACCAAACTCTAAACCCTAAACCCTAAACCCTAGACCCCAAACCCTAAACCCTAAACCCTAAACCCTAAACCAGAAACCCTAAACCCTAAACCCTAAACCCTAAACCCTAAACCCTAAACCCTAAACCCTAAACCCAAACCCTAAACCCAAACCCTAAACCCTAAAGCCTAAACCCAAGGCAGTACATCTGGGAGAGTGGAGCCGGTGGATCTTTCACCGTGCAGAAGGACACGGAGCTTGTCCATGGAGAGATCAAGCGCGGCGCTGCGGATGCAAGAATCAGCAGAATCCCACGACATCTGGGGGTTTAGGGTTTACGAAACATAGGGGACCCCGCAAATATAGATCCCCAAATAGCAGAATTCCCTTGACCATAAGGACCCCAATAGGGTACCTCCCCCCCAATTTCGGAAGCCACCATATGTATGCATGGCAATGAAAAGGTTCGTGGCTTCTTAGGCACCAAGATCATCTGCTACCTCAAGGAGGATCAGTCGGAGTTCTTGGAGGAGCGACGCCTCAAGGATCTCGTCAAGAAGCACTCCGAGTTCATCGGCTTCCCTATCGAGTTGTACGTGGAGAAGTCCAAGGAGAAGGAGGTGACCGACTCCGAGGAAGAGGAGCTCCATAAGAAGTTTTCCCTCACCCTCAAAAACTTCGATCTTGTTCAAGGTTTAGGGTTTAGGGTTTGGGGTTTAGGGTTTAGGGTTAATGTGCACGTTGGCCCGGCACCCATGCCCATGCTTCATGCAATCGGCCACATGCAGGAGGAGGAGAAGAAGGATGAAAAGGAAGGCTCTTCCTGCCCTCAAGCCCTCAAAAGTTTCCAGTGAGTGACTAGTCTGTTGCACCCAGACCCTGAACTTGCCCCAGACCCTGCAGGTGACGAGCCGAAGATCGAGGAGGCATACGATGCTTGCTGTGCAAAGTGCACAAACGAACTGTTAAAGTATCGGCGGCGGCCTTTTCCGACAAAGGGCATGACATCGTCACAGCAAGCCCTGTGCACCCTGTTGCGGTGTAGCTTCAGTCACAGAGTTGATGGCAGGTTGATGAAGAGAAAGAGAAGGAGGAGAAGAAGAAGAAGACCAAGCGCCTTGGAACGCAGCTTAGGCTCCGTGTCAAGAGAAGTTGGCAGGGGGCATGAGAACATTCTCTAGCTGTGTGGCCGAGGAAGGTCAAGGAAGTCTCGCACGAGTGGGAGCAGCTCAACAAGAGCCCGGTCCAATTCTGGGTTCGCTGGCAACACATCGCTGTTGCAAAAGGCCTGAGCAGTTTCATTCTTTGAGCAGCCGAGGAACAAGCCTCTCTGGATGCGCAAGTCTGAGGCCGCAAGAACACGGGATCTGTTCACGAATGTCAGGGGAGAAGCAAGTGTTGGCTGCCACAATGGCATGAACAGCTGCATGCGATATGAGCGAAGGACGTGACTAACGAGGAGTACGCCTCGTTCTACAAGTCCCTGTCCAATGACTGGGAGGTGGGGCGTGCAGCGTTGCGCATTGTAACCCAGAAGGCCGAAGAACCCGAACTACTGATCATAACTTCTACCGCGCTTGATGATCCGAAATGCTTCATAGGTAAGAAAGTGTTGTGACGCTCCTTTATTTTGCCTAATGACAGAGTTTGGGGCTCCCCTGAAAATAGATAGCCCATCAGGTGTAAAACCGGTGGCAGCAGGGGCAAGGCCATGTATTGTCATGTGGCCGTGCAGTATCCCAAAAACACTACAAAACCCTTCAAAACCCATAAGCAACCCAACACTCCAAGCAGCCCTCTACAACCTCATATACCGAAGGATCACCTCGCGGTGAAGCACTTCAGCGTCGAGGGCCAGCTGGAGTTCCGGGCGCTGCTGTTTGTGCCGCGCCGGGCGCCATTCGACCTCTTCGAGACCAAGAAGAAGAGGAACAACATCAAGCTCTACGTGCGCAGGGTGTTCATCATGGACGACTGTGAGGAGCTCATGCCCGAGTGGCTGAACTTCGTGAAGGGCGTGGTGGATTCCGAGGACTTGCCTCTGAATATCTCCCGCGAGACGCTGCAGCAGAACAAGATTCTGCGCGTCATCAAGAAGAACCTTGTCAAGAAGTGCTTGGAGATGTTTGCCGAGATCGCAGAGAAGAAGGACGACTACAAGACGCTAGGCTCGAGTATGGCCTGGCCTGACTTGGAGATAAGATCAGCATACATGGGAAGTTGGGTTTCCGTTTTATGGGGTGAAAAACTGCCACGAAAGCCTGCCTCTAGGGCTAGCGGCCAGTGGAGTTTCCTGCCTGTTCAGCGTTAGCCTCCATCAGTGTGTGTGTGTGTGTGTGGAATTCTTTTCTGAGAAGGCTGTTCTATTTCTGATGGAGCTTTTCTAGGCAGGGGGCCTGGGGAACAAACAGGACTCAGGCCAACGAAGACACTTGTCTGCTGAGTGTGAATTCCAGAGGGATGCCTTTGCAATGTACCGGCAATTTTGAAATCCGAAGCTGTATGTGATGTTCAGGTTGCTGTATATCATCCGCTTCTGTATCGTATCTAAAGATCCCAAAGGCATTCTTCCCCTCAAAGCAAAATATATGCTTTCTTGCAGCCAGCGTTGACTGGATCTGAGAGCTGACCTGAGTGTGAGTGTGTGAGTGTGTGTGTGTGTGTGTGTGTCTGTGTGTGTCTCTGTGTGTGTGTGTGTGTGTGTGTCCCGGCAGACGTTCCGCAGAATTTTCATTTTTTTGGGTCGCTTCTTACCAGCTTTTCTTCCTTTTTTTTTGGGGGAGGGGGGTCGGGTTTCCAAGCAGGGCTGCGGTTAAAGCGGGCCTGCTGACCTTCGGATTCCGGGTTCAATCTTGGGCGCTCGTTATCCTGGGTGCCTGTTCAGTTACACATGGCACAACTGGATGGTGTGACGTGTGTTAAACCTTCTCCAGTCCTTCACCCCATTTAGGCCAGTTCTCTCAACCAAGGAAATTCTACGAGCAGTTCGGCAAGTGCCTGAAGCTGGGCGTCCACGAGGACTCGACCAACCGCACCAAGGTGGCGGAGCTGCTGCGCTACCACACCTCCAAGTCGGGCGACGAGCAAATCAGCCTGAAGGAGTACGTGGACCGCATGAAGGAGGGCCAGAATGACATCTTCTACATCACCGGTGAGAGCATCGCAGCTGTCTCTTCTTCACCCTTTCTGGAGACCCTCCGCAAGAAGGGCATCGAGGTGCTCTACATGATCGACCCCATCGACGAGTACTCCGTGCAGCAGCTGAAGGAGTTCGATGGGAAGAAGCTGAAGAGCACCACCAAGGAGGGCTTGGACATCGAGGACGAGGATGAGAAGACGCTATGGTCCAAAACGTCTTAGGTTTAGTTTTTGCAGAGGACAGGGGACCGTATCATATGTTTTGTGATTCGGCAAGTTTAAACAGTTTCCATGCTGGCGGCTTTGGTTGGGAGGGTGAGTGCGGTGGGGGAGGGGGGGGGTGGGGGCATAGGGGCGTGCCATACCCCTGCTATCATACTCAAGCAGCTCCCCTGAACTCCAAGGAAGAAGCTGGAGGAGATGAAGGCCGAGTTCGAGCCTCTCACGAAGCTCATGAAGGAGGTGCTGGGCGACAAGGTGGGAGATGATAAGCAGAACCAGGAATAACACAACCGATATCGTTTGCAAGGGACAAGCACATGATGACGTTATATGTTGTTTAGTCGCATTCCCAGGTGGAGAAGGTTATCGTCAGCTCTAGGATGGCCGACTCCCCTTGCGTGCTGACCACGTCTGAGTACGGCTGGTCTGCGAACATGGAGCGCATCATGAAGGCGGCGTTGAGACGGTGTAAACTGCGGTTCCTGTTTCATGTCCCCCCCTCGGTTTTGTTACGCCTTAGTCGGTTCCTGAAACGTGGTTCCTGGCGCTGGTTCGTTTACACCAGTCACCCATGGAAGGCGCAGGCCCTGCGCGACAATTCCATGACTTCCTACATGGTCTCCAAGAAGACCATGGAGGTGAACCCCAAGCACTCCATCATGGCCGAGCTGAAGAAAAAGGCGGCCGCTGACAAGTCCGACAAGACCGTCAAGGACCTCATCTGGCTGTTGTTCGACACCTCGCTCCTCACCTCCGGCTTTAACCTGGACGAGCCCACCCAGTTTGCCGGCCGCATCCACCGGATGATCAAGCTCGGCCTCAGCATCGACGACGATGACGAGGGTCTGGGTGATGACGATGACCTGCCCCCGCTTGAGGAAGTCGAGGGCGCAGCCGACGAGGCTTCCAAGATGGAGGAGGTCGACTAAGCCATTCACAGTGGTGCAGGTATGCTGCACAAGAATTCGCGTACAGTAGGAGCTGGGCCGCGTGCCCGGCTGTAGGAAAAGACTGACAGAGACCTGAGCGAGCGACAGACTTGCAAAAGGATCATCCTGACGTGGCGACTGATTCTCACTCTCTCTGTGTCTCTGTGTGTGTGGGTGTGTGCATGCAGGCGCCAGGCATTAGAGGTCAATGTCCAACAGATCGTCACATCCGAGGGCATCCCGCAGGAAATCAAGTTTGACTTTGACAAGAAGACAGACAATGCCGCGGCCAGAGATCCATCTATGTGCCTTCTTGATCGAGAGCCTCACGAACCCTAAATTAAACGTTCTAAGCCCGAAAGCTTAAACCCTAAACCCTCAACCCTCAACCCTCAACCCTCAACCCTCAACCCTAAACCCCAAGCCCAAAACCCTAAACCCTAAACCCTAACCTGCCCTAAACGTTCAACCGTGTTCTCAGGTTTTGACTGCAGCCTTCTGCCTCTTTGGCAACGGGACTGCGCAGGGCCCATTTGGGTTCAGGGTTTTTGGGTCAAAACCCTAAACCCTGAAGCCTAAACCCTAAGCCCTAAGCCCTAAGCCCTAAGCCCTAAACCCTAAACCCTAAACCCTAAACCCTAAACCCTAAACCCTAAACCCTGAACTTCTTGTTGAGGGTTGAGGGCCGTTGGCCTACCTGGCGATATTGCTCTACACTGGCCCCTTCAGAGGTTCTGCAAAGAAAGCGCTCAAGGAACCCTAAAATAGTAAAAGCGTCGGACCTGTCCTCGACCCCTACATCCCAAGCAGGAGCGTCGACACCAAGATGGGCTTTGAGCGGCTTACGCTCGACATCGAGAAGGCTTGGGTTTGGCCGGCAGAGGCTGACGTTGGGGTTTAGATCTTCGGATCCCGACGCGCTGAGCCCTCCTAGGCGCTCCTAGGCGCTCCTAGGCCCCCCTGAGCCCCTCCTAAGCCGTCCGAAGCCCTAAACCCTAAACCCTAAACCCTAAACCCTAAACCCTAAACCCTAAACCCTAAACCCTAAACCCTAAACCCTAAACCCTAAACCCTAAACACAAAACCCTAAACACAAAACCCGGAACTTCAACCCTAAGCCCCAAACGCCCACTCGGCTTCCACAGGCCGTGGTCGCCCGGTGCCGGGAACTGGAGATGGAGGCCCCAGATGCGACGGATGGAAGTAGCATGAAGGGGGAACTGTACTACTTGGAGGTTTAGGCTTTATGGTTTAGGGTTTAGGCCTTTTGGTGGTTCATGGGTACTTATAAGTAGGGTCGCAAGTAGGAACTCTGGTTCTAGCCTTAATTTCGGGTACTGTTAACCCTACTTCTAAGTACAGTAGCAGTGAACCTGCAAGTACCAATGGAGGTGAGAGGTGCGAATACTCCTGCTAAAATGGACACGAATACTGCTACTGATGCTGGTGCTGGTACTGGTCCTGATGCTGATATGAAGGCTACTGCTGGTACTAGTACGTTGTGCTGCTGTTGATGATGACGAGCAGAATGACAATGACGGCGGCGATGTTGAATACTGATGACAGTAACCGTGACAGTAACAGTGCTCAGTGCTAGACCGTGATAAGAGTGATAACCGTGAGAATGGTGATACTCGTGAGCCATGGTAAGCAAATCTGCAAAGTGCAGAAGTGGGGTAAGGGAGAGACGACCCATAGGCCCCAAGTCCCGAAACCTAAGCCGGTTTAGGGTTTAGGGGTTTAGGGGTTTAGGGGTTTAGGGGTTTAGGGGTTTAGGGGTTTAGGGGTTTAGGGGTTTAGGGGTTTAGGGGTTTAGGGGTTTAGGGGTTTAGGGGTTTAGGGGTTTAGGGGTTTATGGGTTTAGGGGTTTAGGGGTTTAGGGGTTTAGGGGTTTAGGGGTTTAGGGGTTTAGGGGTTTAGGGGTTTAGGGGTTTAGGGACCCCCAGATCTCAAAGCCCAAGCAAAACACCACTTTGCGGGAGGCCAACCCCACCACCCTCCAGACTGCGGCCCTGACCAACCAGGCTTCTTGGCTTACGAAAAAAATGCCCTACTTGGAGGTTCATGGGTACTTATAACCCCAAATACAAGTCTACTTGTTACTTACTTAGAGGACTTAGGGGGCTGAGGGGGCTCGAGTTGGGGTTATAAGTACCATGAACCTCCAAGTGCCCTCCAAAGACCCTTCCTCTGCATGAAGTGCCCTGACTTCGCACTAGTGAGGCGCGCCCGGAACAGAGACAAGATGAAGGCGGGGACCCTTAAACCCTAACCCCCAGGGGAAGAGTGGGGGGAGAGTGGGGGGAGAGTGGGGGGAGAGTGTGCCCTAAACCCTAAACCCTAAACCCTAAACCCTAAACCCTAAACCCTAAACCCTAAACCCTAAACCCTAAACCCTAAACCCTAAACCCTAAACCCTAAACCCTAAACCCTAAACCCTAAACCCTAAACCCTAAACCCTAAACCCTAAACCCTATGGGGGGAGAGTGTGGGATGGGGGGGGGGGGGGGCCGGGGCCCAAATGCCACAAAGTACGTGGGCAGGCCACAACTCCGGCTTTGCCCGAGAGAACTCGGGGCCGATGGCGCCTGAAAGCCCAGATTGGGGGGGGGGGGGGGGGGGGGGGTTAGGGTTTAGGGTTTAGGGTTTAGGGTTTAGGGTTTAGGGTTTAGGGTTCAGGGTTCAGGGTTCAGGGTTCAGGGTTCAGGGTTCAGGGTTCAGGGTGGTTTGGGGCTTGGTGCCGGCTTGTGCGGTTTTAGGTGTGGGTTTAGAGGCTTTGGCTGTGGAAGCTTGGGGTGGCCCTTTTTGTGGCTAGGGCTGGGAGTTTAGGAGTGTTAGGGGCCTCGTTTGGTTTTTTGTTGGGGGGGGGGGGGGGGTGGTTTTTGTTTTTTTGTTGGGGGACGGGGGGGGGGGGGGTGAAGGGGCTGTTGGGGCTTGTTTTCTGGCTTAGGGGCGCCCACAAACATTGTTCACGATTATACTGACAAGCGGATTCTTTGAATCGTTGAGACATGGTGCAATTGTACTTGCTGAACTCGCAGATGGTTTTGTTGCAGTCGAACTCAACAATGCTATACAATGCTGGAAGTTACTGTTCAGCTCATATATGGTTGGCTGCCCCATAGACCAATTCCAACAAAGCTTGCTCAGCTAAACTCCAACCCCTGCACTCAAATGAGAATAACCATATGATAGTCATACTGGTAGGGTCGTATTTTGTGTGTTAGGGCCCCGAAACCACTTCCAAAGTTCCCTGTTAACTTCAAGCTTATGGGTCCCTTGAACACACATTGGCCTTTACACCCCTTATGCCCCCCAACACCCCGGACCCTGCAAAGGTGGGAGCGCCATTCGGAAGCGTCAACCCGAAACCCTTAGACCCTAACAATTATCAGCGGGGGCATACCTGCCCTCCCCCCCCCCCCCCCCCCCCCCGCGCAGTCAGGGCAGGGCATGCCCGTTTTGGGTTATTACATCACCGTGAACATATATAGCCATATAAATCACAACTAGTAGCCCATTATCCTTAAAATACTCTATCTCATCCTATTTATCAGGTGATGTAACATCCCGAAACGGGCAAGGTTAGGTTTATTCATTTTATGGGGAATAGTATGGGGCGTTGGTTGTTCGTTCCAAAATGCCGGGGCTGATAGGGCTTGTGGGCGAATGCAGTTGGAATGTCTTTGTCGCATGCTGTTTTCAGAAAGTGTTGGACACAGGCTTTGTTGACATTCACCTCTTTCCAAGGGCGTTGCCACGTTTAAGAAGTTGGGGCATTATCTTCTAATCCCAACGCACGGAGAACTTCTGATGTTTTTGTGCATTTCCTGCCCTGCAGCGATGGCCATGCATTTTTCTCTACTTGGGAGGTTCATGGTTACTTGAAAAAGGTGGGGGCTAGAAGTAGGGACACTATGGTTATGGCCTTATGTAGGTGCTTCTAACTCTACTTATTGGTTTTCTGAACCCTCAAGTAGGCTGAAAGCAAGTTACAAACCTGCTCTCTCGTGCCTGCCTGTCACTGAGGCATGGAGGCTCCCTTGCGCATCAGCCGCAGCCCGAGAGTCGGAGGTCGCGCTAACGACGGTATCATCATCATCTGATATTCTTTCGGCTCCTTAACGCTGTGCCCCGAGTATCATTCCGAAGAATGTGGCCAACAGGCGATAATTTCCTAAACCCTAAACCCTAAATCCTAATGGAGCAAGAAAGGTCCGATATCGGGCTGAGGCAAGGCAAAGACAAGGACAAGGACGGAACCGACCAGGAAGACTCGCCGGTCCCTCAGTCCTTCAGATGGGGCATGGGTCTAGGGTTTAAGGCTTTTGTTGGTGTCAGGATTTTTGAGCCCTTTTGGGGGGATTCCTACTCAATCAGGGTGTGTTCAAGGGGTACTCCCTACTTTGCGAAGTACCTACATGCCCTTAGGGCCGGGAGCTCTCAATACCTTAGCACCTTAAAGCCTAAACATTGCAACCGCTATTCAATGCCTCTAGCCCTAGCCCCAAAAAGCCCCAACAACCCTGGAAAAGCGCAGGCCAAGAACCCTCAACACACTGAAGCCCTAAACCCGAAACCCGAAACGCTAAACCCTAAACCCTAAACCCTAAATCCTAAACCCGAAACCCTCAGCCCTAAACGCCCCTCTTCGCAGGAAGGTGAACTGGCAGACCCTTGGCTGGTCCCTGGCGAAGAAGCAGCCCTTGTCCGCAGAGATTTGCAAGATCAATGTGGAGAAAGGCCGGGGGCCCCCAAGATCTAAACCGTTCAAAGGGGCTTAAGGGGCGTTTGTAGAGGTTTCGGTGTTGGGGTTGGTGGGTGTTGAAACCCTAAACCCTAAACCCTATACCCTATACCCTAAACCCTAAACCCTAAAAACCCTAAACCCTAAAGGCCCTAAACCCTGAGCCCTAAACCCTAAACCTAAACCCTAAACCCGAATCCCTAAACCCTACACCCTAAACCCTAATTGGGTTTCAAAAGGGGCGCCTGGGAAT